AGCTGTATTTTCAGCATCATTACTCCAGTCTTCAGTGTCACATGATCTTCAGAAATCATTCTAATATGCTCAAGAAACATTTATTATTATTTTCAGTGTTGAAAACAGTTGTGCTGCTTCATATTTTCATACAGTACGTTTTTTTTTAGGATTCTTCGATGAATAGAAAGTTCAAAAGAACAGCATTTATTTGAAATAGAAATCTTTTGAAACATTTACTGTCACTTTTGATCAATTTAATGCATCCTTGCTGAATAAAAATATTCTTTAAAAAAATCATACTGACCCCAAACTTTTAAACAGTAGTGCATCAGTAACCTCTGACCGTGTCCAAACTGAACATGACCTGATCTAAACCAGATCTGAAACTCATAAAATACACTGATGTCAACAGATAAACCTGTTTGCTTTCCATTATATCCAATGAAAGAAATATTAGAGACAAAAAATTTAACATTCAACTTCGTATAATCTTAAGGGAATGTACCCTATTCCCATGACAAGAAACTGTAGTCTCCCTCTTTGTTTATACATTCTTTCCTTTAATAACGCTGTTTTTCTCCTGTTGTCCTTTCTGTAACCTCAACATATTGCTCAACCCTTCTGGACTGGAGTGCTAGTTTGTGATGACTGTACTTGTGAAAACCACCCTATAATCAGTGGCAGGAAAGCTCTAATAGACTCTCTAGAGCACTACAGTTAGAGGGAGATGGAGTGAAATGTTCCTGAAGAACTACTGATGCCCGTTGAGAAGCAGACAGCATAGTGAAGAACCCAATGTGCATTGGCTCGTTTAGTTTACACTCGAAGTGGATTGGTCTCTCTAAGCGAGATCCCAATTCGTCGGTCATCCGACGTGACGTCGAGAGTGACCGACTGAAAGGGAACTGAAGGAGGAGAGAAAGACAATTACGAGAGTGAGACCCTGAACAGCACAGAGCTCATGAAACATGAGAGAGAGACGCACAGAACAGCTGAAAGAGCAAAACGCAGCGAGCAGTGAGGGAATAATAAATCAAACAAGATGATGATGTCAGCAAAAGCCCCAAAACACAGCAACTTCTGAAAAAAGGGAACAAACAAACAAACACGGGTTTCATTTCGGTAATCTGACTCTTTGTTTGTGGCTTTGAATTGCACAGGTTCAATAACAAGCACCTTTTAGGCTTAGAATCATGGTGGCTTTTTGTGCCATAATAATTTTTATGTCAGATAATACGCTCAAATAAATATTTAGGCCTAAATCAAACACATAAATCTAAGATTTATGTATTTGAATTGCATATACAATTTCCATCCATTTGGATTACAGTTTTCGTATATAATAAACTTCATGTGATGCATATTTGTCAGTCATGGATAAATGAATTTTTCAAAATTCTGTAGATTTTTGTAATAGTACTAATAAACTAAATGCGTTTTAAATACACAATAACCAGGTTTATATACAGTATTTATCATTAATAAATCCAATTTGTTTTAAATTTCATACATTTTAACTAACTTAATATTGCTTGTTTCACAGCTAGTCATATTTCAACCATGTTCATTTTTTTTTAACTTAATAACGTAATACATTTAATTGTATGAAAATATGATTATTTAAATAAAATAAAATAAATGAAATAAAATAAACTATGACTTGATTTTTTTTGAGTATAGAAACAGTTTAATTTTTGTATGACTGAATTTAAAATGTATTTATGCACTTAAAATTAAAAATAAAACTATGACCTGATTTCTTATTTTTCATTATATTATTTATTTGTTTGTTTATTTTTATTTATTTATTTTTTTAAATGGAGAAATATTACCAGTTTCATTTATGTATGACTGAATTGTATTTATGTAAAATAAAATAAAATAAAATAAAATAGTGAATAATAATCTATGACCTGATTTATTTTTATTGATTTATTTATTTTGAGTGCAGAAATCGTACCAGTTTCATTTATGTACGACTGACAATTATGCATCACATTCAGCATATTAGTTTGTTTATTTTAAAACTGTGTAATACAAATGGATGGAAAATTTACACTCTAAAAAATGCTGGGTTAAATACAACCCAGTGCTGGGTAAAATAGGGACAAACCCAGCAATTGGGTTGTTTTGACCCAGCGGTTGGGTTAAATGTTTAACCCAACCTTCTGGGTAGTAACCCAACCGCTGGTTCAAAACAACCCAATTGCTGGGTTTGTCCCTATTTTACCCAGCACTGGGTTGTATTTAACCCAGCATTTTTTAGAGTGTACATGCAATTTAAATACACAAATCGTTAATTTAGGCCTAAATATTTTGAGTGTATTGTATGTAGTTTGAGTAATAGTTCAAGTTCTACAAAAAATGGGATTTTGCATTACTTGCATTGCATTACTTGCATTGATTTAAAAAATGAAATGACACAAATTTGTACTCTACTCATACAAAAGAATGATAGATGGCAGTGAAAATGACTTAAAAAGGAAAAACATTTTAAAATAAAGTTCAGTTCCTTACACATTTAAGCATCCTAGTCTTGAAATGAAATATTCATATACATATCATAATTAAATCACGTATCATATCACATTCAAAATATACAAAAAGAAAAGCAAAATAAGATAAGGAAATGCTAAAAGAAAGACACAATTGCAAATAAGTGGAAGAAGACAAAGAGAGAGTTTGGCATGTGAAGGGCTTGGGATAGTTACTCGAGAACTGAAGGTCCTATGGCCATGGCGATCATCTTTAAGCACCTCCAACCTACACTGGAGCTTACGGAGATAAAGTCATCAGTTCATCAGTTACAAGCAACAGAAGAAACAATCCAACAGAAAACAGAGCGCCAGGCAACTCAAAGATAAATCAATAAACAGAGAGAAAACTTTCAGGTATCACAAGAACTAGAGGTTGTTAGTGAACATTTCATTTAGAATTACATTTAAATCTCCAAGAATAATACAAGTTAAAGTACTAATAACACACACACACACACACACACACACACACACACACACACACAGAAGGAATAGTTCACCCAAAAATAACATTTGCTGACAATGTCCTCCCCTCAGGTTTAGAGAAATGTAGCATTGCATCATTTGCTCAGCAATGGATCCTCTGCAGTGAATGGGTGCCGTCAGAATGAGAGTCCAAACAGCTGATAAAAACATCACAATAATCCACAAGTAATCCACACCACTCCAGTCCATCAGTTAACGTCTTGAGAAGAAAAAAGCTGCATGTTTGTAAGAAACAAATCCATCATTTAGACATTTTAAACTTTAAACCATTATTTCTGGCCAAAATACGATGCCATAATCCATAATAACACTTCCTCCAGTGATAAAGTCCATCTCCTGTTGTCTCTCACATCAAAATCCACTGAGATATTTGTTTAGAACTGTTCTGGACTACTTTGGCTTGTAAACAGAGCTTGATCTGTGCAGATTTCTCCCCTGATTCAGACGAGGTGTCACAGTAGGAAGCGTTATTATTCTCATTCTGACGGCGCCCATTCACATGCAGAGGATCTATTGGTGAGCAAGTGATGGAATGCTACTTTTCTCCAAATCTGTTCGCATGAGGAAACAAACTCATCTACAAATTGAATAACCTGAGGGTGAGTATACAGTCAGCAAATCTTCATTTTTGGGTGAACTATTCCTTTAAAGTAACGCTTTATAGAGAACTATATAGCCAGTCAGACAAAATAGTTTACATAAAATAATCAAGCACACGCACACCATCCGAGGTGCAGGTCAGAAGATACCAAATCTGTGTAGAGAGGATATATAACCGCACACTCACTTACAAATATACTACTTTATTTGATTAACCAACGTTTCTGCTTAAAGCCTTTGTCTGTAGGATTTCTTACATGGTGAGGAGAAGTATAAATTGATTGTTGGCTGGATTGAGATTGATTGTTTGCACCTGTGAATAATTGCCTATTTATACTTCTCTTCAGCATGTAAGAAATCCTACAAAGGCTTTATGCAGAAACGTTGGTTAATCAAATAAAGTAGTATATTTGTAAGCGAGTGTGTTGTTAAATATCCTCTCTACACAAAATAGTTTGAAGTCAACATGAAATGTCATGCGCCATCTATTTTAATACCTGCAATTGCAGGAACATGTGTTAAGAAAGTATTAAGCAGTAAATAGAGTCCATTTTGATTTCATGTTGACTTTAAAGTAATAAGATAAGAACAGAGAAACTGAAGCATCAAAACAAAATCAGAGATCAACTGACATTTTAAGCAGAGAGAAGGACACACACACACACACCTGCCATACGGTGCGATTATGACAGCTCTATCATAACCATCATATTAAAATGAAACCAGTAATTAAATCACACTAAATAAGACTTTCTTTCCACAAATGTAAAAGCACTGGGATATTATTTCATCAAACAATTCCCTCATTAAATATCGTAGATGTGGGCAAATTAATACAAGTAGTGACCTAATTTGCAATGGGTTTACAAGAAATCGCCAAGATGATGATTTTTTCACATGATAACTAATAAATCATCTTTCAGCTCATGTTGTTTTTGAATGATCAGCAATTGTGATTTTGAGCAAAATAAATAAATAAAATAAAGTAAAAGAATATCAGGTGTTCAAAAAATCTTTAACTTTACAGTCTTATTCTTGATAATTTCATGACTTTAGAAGTTTATGGAATTAATTATGCTTGACATCCCTATTTGGTGGATGGATGTGGAGTGAATACAGATGTTCACAAAAAAACTTAACAAAACATGACACATCCTTAATTTACATTAATCACTCTTAAAATATTGGCATTGATGGTTTCATGTAGAACCTTTAACAGCCATGAAATCATTTCATTTCACAAAACATTCTTTATATTGGAAAAAGATTTTTAAAATGTTCTTCACAATACAAAAAAATGGTTCTTTTAAGAAAGGTGTACTAAAATGTTCTTTGGGGAACAAATAATGGTTCTTCTGTGGCATCACTGTGAAAACACCATTTATTTTTACGAGTATATGTAATAAAACTGGAGTGTGTGTGGGTTAGTTGTGTTAGTGATAGCTCTAGACATACTGCTGGTGTCATTCATAAGACAAAACCACATGATGGAGCTTGTACTGTAAATGAAGACAGAGACAGCGTCAAAATCTTGAAAAAAAGTGTGAAGCTGAGCTCAACACACTCCTGAAGTGCAGAGGCATCATAACTACATTTACTCACATGCATGTACTTTAATTCACACAGAACTTTGTAACAGGGATGTGTTTCCTACTGACACTGAGGTGTGTTATTGATGTATGAAGAGGATCTTTCTGCTGTAATATTATCATGTGTTGAAGACTAATGGCGCTTTTCCACTGCACGGTACGGCTCGGAACGGTTCACTTTTTGGGGGTTTTCCACTGGGTACAGTACCTGATACCTGGTACTCTTTTTAGTACCACCTCGGTTGAGGTTCCAAGTGAACCGTACCGCTACCAAAACGTGACGTGTAAACTCTGCTGATCACGGATTGGCCGGAGAGAATCGTCACTACCTGCGTCACTGAACTTGCGACACAAACACAACAGAACCGCTAGATTTAAATCAGCACAGCCAGCAAAGGATCGAACGCAACTGTTTTGAACAAGCGC